TTTTGACAAAACGTTGTAACGTGTACGTAAGCGGTAATGATTTTTTTTGATTTCGCATTTTGCTTCCATACGCTTCAGGATCATTTTCTTTTTGTCTTTGTCGATATTTACGCATTCTTCGAGCATGTCCGATAAGAAATGTATCTTGTGTTGGTGATTCCATTTAAAAAGAAAAGTTAATAAAACAAAAAAAAGTTATCATTCAGAATAAATTTTCTTCTGACTAAACGCGCTACAATTATATAATTCAAAAAAATTGTTTATCTAACAAAATTGTGAATTATATTACCTTAATTAAATATTAATATTTTTAACATAAAGAACATTAATTAAAATTCATTCAAAACTTTGAATACAAAGAAAAATAAAGTTAATAATATTATAATAAAATAATAGATTTCGTAACAATGGCTCGAAAACGATCTGATAATAAAAAATGGAAATCAAGACCATCACGGAAAAAAACTCAAGCTAATAGAAACCGTAAACCGTCAAAAATCCGTAAAAATAACACAAAATTATCTACTCCAACGAAACCCTCTCGACTGAGAAGAAAAGCAAACAGTAGTCAACAAGTCTGTTCAATTTCATCAGTAAGTCTTAACGAAAACATACCTGAAGAAGTTTTTGATACCCAAATACATAATTTTCTCAGTGAAAGGTATAATAGTCACATTTATCATTTATATTTTGCACCATAGACCTCTCTAATAGATATTTATCTGAAATTCGACAACCGTGGTATTCTTGTAAATGTTGTACTTGTGAACAGCCATTGTGTAACATACGAACAGCAAAGAAAGAACACGAAAAATATCATGATTGTTTTGTTGGTGATACAATTTGTTCATTTTGTTATGATTTTATTGCAAAATGTGATGTACCTTTTTGTCCACATTCTCATTTTCGAAATATTTTAGAAATTCCCAAAACACCAACGTCTTTAAAATTAGGCTTTCTCGAACAGAGAGCTATAGCACTTATGCATTGCTATATGAGTATTTTAATCGTTCGTGGTCATCAATCAGCAATGAAAGGACAAGTAGTCCATTGCCATGTTGATGTTGCTGATAATATAGGCGATCTTTTACCACTACCAAAATGTTATGAATTTATGGCAGTTATTCAACAAAAACCGATGAATGAAAATGGTGAAATAAGATCAACAGTTAGATACTCAGTTAGTGCCATTCAAATTCTTCGTGCCATTCAATATCTTATCCAACATCACATTGGATATAGAAACAAACAAGTTCTTCCTCTGGAAAAAATTGAAGAGATGTTTCAATGTAGAAAAGAAGACGTTGCGCCTATTCGAATTATTGATTCATATGCCTATAATAATTCGACAACGTCTGCTCCGATTGTTCTTGATGCTGATGAAGCTGTTTTTGGTCCTAGGTATAAGATGATTTATTAAAATTTTCTACGTATAAACTTTAAATATTTGCAAAGTCGTACTCTCAAAGCAGGTGAAGATCCTATTTGGCAAATTCAGCCTGGTATGGAAGAATGCACTTTTCCATGGATTTATCCAACAGGAGAAGGTGGAGAACTTGATGCCAAACGACCTATTCCACTTAAACTTCGTGACTATTGTAAACTTCGATTAATGTGTGCAGACAAAAGATGGCAAGCAGACACAATTTGGACATTTCGAGCGATGAATTTGATTCAAAGAGATGATCTTTGTACAGCAGTAAATTATCATGCAAAAAAGCAATTCAAGAAAGACCGTTTATGTTATAACATATATCCATGTAAGTGCAGCAATATTCTTACTTATATATAATTTAGATCAACAAGAATGTATTGTTCACACTTTTAGTAGATAATCTCTTAAAAATAAAGTAAACATTTATTCATTTGTAAAGAGAAGTTATTATTTATTTTCTTCAATGAAAGTATGGAATCTAAAGATGAAAATTCTTGTGTGTGTGTTTGTCTATAATACGCAATTGATATGATACTAACGACTATAGTGTACAGATATGGTACAAAGCAGCACGATATAAAGAAGCAATACGAAAGATCATGCATTAAAGTTGTAGTGTAAAGGGCCATGATATACAAATATAGTACAAAGTGCCAAGGATTTAAGTGACAGTAAAAAGAGCAGTGACTTACAAAATATGATACTAAACATCATGCGGTATAACTGTGATACCAAGGACTACTAATCGATGTGGTGACATAAAGTAACACACACTAGTATGTAGTATGAAGACTATACTCGTACAGATATGAACGAATCATTTGTCTGATATGCTTGTTAATGCATTCATCGAACTAAAAATCTTATATTAGAGACAATTGGGATAGTTATCCATAAAGTAGAAATTTCAACACTTTATCTATAGAAAAATAGAAGTCAACTTCTTTTATCATTATTATTATTATGTTTTGGCATCCTTTCACTTAACTATTATTACTTTTATATGTAGTTCTATATCAAAATGCTCTCTGTCAGTATACAGCCAAGTACATCGATTCTAAATTACTGTTGCTTGTATACAATGTCATAAAAGAAAATTTGAAAGCCTAAAATATCGTACTACATTTTAGCTATTGGGAAAGCTGTTCGAGGTACAGCTGCTTTCTGGTCTGTCCCTAGAAAAATTCTACGCTCAATGTATGCAACACTATCCAAGCCAAATATTTTTTTGAGTATTAATTTACAAGATGATGTGGAATTTTTGACTCATATTGATCCAACTCGATTTGGTAATGTGAACAATCCAAATTATGATGCAATTGACTCTTTGCCTGATGATGATTATTTACAACTGGTTAACGAGAATAGTGCACTAGTAGCACGAATGTGTCATCGACGAATGCTTGCATTTGAAAAATTTATTAGTGATAAGAAGCATCCTTTTTTCATTGTGTACATCGTCACAAATTATTTCTTTAAAATTGAATTTCAACGTGATGGTCTCCCTCATCTTCATACGTTACTTTGGCTTGATAATTTTCCTTCTATTGATACAGTAGAAGGACGAAAAAGTGTTATAGAATTTATAGATAAATTCCTGAGTACCTGCTTACCAGATAAACAAGAAGATCCTGAAGGTCATTTACTTGTAAAAAAAAAGCAATGGCACATTCACACATTTACCTGTTCCAAAGGCTAGTAAATTGTTTGGAAAATATAATCAATTAATAGTAGAGTCTTTATAGGTAGTTGTAAAGTTCGTATACGTCGAGGACGCAAATTTAAAGATGAAAAAATACAAAAAAATATTAAAGAATCTCAAATAAAAGATATCAATAAAAATTATTTACATCAAAATGAAATATATGAACAAGTTGATCCAAACAATGATCCTGATCTTTTACAATTAGCGAAAGATAAAAAGGAATTTTTTGAACGATTGGGATGTCGTTTTGGAAGTCCTTTTGAATTGGCTAATGGAACACATTTTCGAACATACAAAGAAGCCCACATATTGACAAGAGGTGATCGAGATATTATTATAAAAAGATTAACTGAAGAAGTGAGTTTAATTGGTAAAATTTCTTTATTTTGACTATTGCTTCATTTACATTTTTTACTTATTATTTTCTCAAAAACCAATCGTAGTCTAGACGAATAATTCCCTACAATCTACACTTGTTGAAAACATTTCGTTGCAATCATGATATTCAAGTTATTACCGATCCATGGGCATCTGCAGAATATTTATTTTCTTATGTATCAAAAGATGCTCACATGGAAAAAAATTTAGTATATCAAATGTCAAACTGTACTTGTTCGAGTCTTATGGAAGCCAAAGCAATCCTTCTAAAAACAGGTAATGCAATACTGTCTCATCGTCAAGTTGGTAAGGTTGAAGCATCATGGACAGTACTAGGTATAGGAATACATCAATAATAAAATATTTTTATTGGCTGTAAATTATAGGCATTCCTTTATATCATTCATCAATAAGATGCAAAAGTTTATATATTTCTTTACCATGGGAAGAAGAAAGAATACTCAAACGTGGACGAACTCAGGTAAGTAGCACAGATGACTTTGTTGAATCACTTACGCATCGATATGTGAAACGACCATTTACTCCTTCTGTAATTAATCACATGACTCTGTTTGAATTCTTAACTTGGTTTGATTTTGATCGATCTTCTTCAATGCAATTACAAGATACATTGAAAGAACCACTCGTTGAAAATCCTCTTTGGCGTACTGACTTTAATCAACCACCATTACTGAAAACTTCAAATTATCTTCCTCGGATCGTTTTGTCATGTAGTTCAGTATTGATTCAACATAAAGAACCAGCATGTATTAGTTTTACTTGTCGTTATGATGATTCAATGTTGGCTATGTACTCAATGCTTTCTATTGGAATTCCATATCGAGACCCAATTGAGGAATTCCTGGGTGGTAAATTAGGTATTTTGTATAGATCCAATAAATATATTTTATAAAATATTATGCATTGATTGTTTAGAAAATGATTTGAACGCTATCCATCAATTATTGCTGAAAAGTAAACCCGAGATATTACAAAGATTTTCTACATTACCTGGAGCCTACAAAATACAAATGATCAATGCAATTGAACATTTATGTGACCTAAATGCTCATGATTTTGTTATCAAACCACGAACGTCATTTATATTTACAACCGAAGATGAAGAAGACGTAGATGATGAAACAAGCAACAATATACAACAAATGAATGATAGTAACATTACCAAGAGTAATAAAGATTCCTGTAAGCGTGCTTTCTCTGAAAGTATTGATGAAGATGATCAAGAACACGTGAATCCCAATGAAGACATGACAATCAATTGCCCTTCTAGTCGTACTGAAGAGTTGCTATTATCAGCCAATACACAACAGCTTTTTTTGGCAAATTTTTTTAGACAATATCTTGCAGCATTGATGCGATACGAAGAAAGCCGATATCGTTCTCAAAAAATCTCAAAACCATTACCTTTTCATATAGTTGTGAATGGTTTAGCTGGCTCTGGAAAATCCTATGTTATCTCTATTATTGAACAGATGTTAATTGATTTTTGTATTAGTGAATCAGCTACTCGAAATCGTCCACGTAGACAAAAAGGATTACTTAAGATGGCTCATACTGGCAAAGCTGCTTTAAATATTCATGGTTGGACTATCCATACTGCTCTAGGCATGGTAATTGTTAAAATGTTTTGATATTCTAAATATTCATATCTTTGCCAATTAGCGTCCTGACAATACATCTACACCGAATAATGCCCCATCCTTTAAAATACATTCGATTCGACAACGACTTGGTGATTTGATATTAATAATTATCGATGAAATTTCACTTGTCTCCTACAATCTTTTTCAAAAAGTGAACAAGCGATTAAACGAAGTATTTGAAGTAGCTGACAAAAGTGACGTCTATTTTGGAAACATTCCAGTTTTATTATTTGGGGACTTAGCTCAATGTGAACCAGTTGCTGCCAAACAAATTTTTTGGCGACCTTCTGGTGAAACTTTCTCACTTTGGTCCGATTTATTCAGACCAATCAACTTTAATATCAACATGCGACAAGGTGACGATAGACAGTTCTTCGATATTCTGTGTCGAATGAGATTAGGTACATCATTATTTGCTGACAATATATATGAAAGTAAAGTTTTTTTCAGGTGAATACAATGAAGACGATGAAACGATGATAAAATGTAGAAGTATTCGAAAAGAAGATAACCCATTCCACTATAAAGAACGATTAACAGAATTACAGTCAACAGCATTTGAAAATGCCATATATGCATTCAGTGTAAGAACTAAAACTAATGAGAGAAACTCTATAAAACTTAGAGAAACAGCAATGAAACTAAAAACTCCAATATGGATAATTCAATCCATTGACGTTCGTTCAGACCTATTAAAAATGCTTAATCCTTATTAATGTTTTTTTCTTTAGAAAGTTGGCATGGCTCGATCATTATTTTTTAGTCCAGTACAGGCAAGTAAAAAAGCATGCAAAATTGATTTAAAACCTTCTAAGGACGAAAATGAGTGTGCATCTATGTTTGAACAATTACCAATATGTATTGGCGCACGTGTAATATGTCGACGTAATATTGATTTTGATGGAGAAATGGTGAACGGAACCGAAGCAATCATAAAAGATATAGTATGGGATAAAGATGATGATATTATCTTACCAATGTCAAATCGATGTGTTTTTCCAAATTTAAACCGAGCATTAAGTGCGAAACTACCAAAATATATTGAACTCGGTAACAAATAGAGAAAAATAGACACAAAACAATATTTGTCTTCTGTGCTAGAATTAGATAATGGTTCTATGTATAAAATGACTCCAGAAGAAGTTAGTTTCAAAGATCAGAATGGTGTATCGATGACAAGAAAACAATATCCACTCAGTTTAGGCTATGCAATAACAGTACACCGATCGCAGTGTATGACTTATAATAAACTAGTCGTCGATTTAACTGGTGTAAATTGGAAGCCTGGTATGCTTTATACAATCTTGAGTCGCACACGAAAATTGACTGATATCATTATCTTGGCATATGATCGCAAATCATTCAAAGTAGTAGATTTTGTTATGAAATACGGTTTACCATGTCTTAGCATACTAATTAGGTATCTAAACCAGCACTAAATGAGATGTCTCGTTTAAACAAAATCGAAGAACAATATCCGATTAAAATTGAACAGTACTTGAAAAATGAGGTACTTAGTATTGTTCTTTAAATTTATAAATTTTATACAGCAATATAGAGATACATAGAGTGGTGTCTACCGAATTCATCTGATTCTGAACAAATATCAGCAATAATATCAAATACAAATAAAGAATTGATATCAAATACAAGTAGTAAATCAATATCGAATCGCATCAATACAAAACAAATACAATTACAATACATGTTACCAGTCACAACTAATTCAATAACAAAGCCCGAAGATGTTATCATTTGTGAGAAACAGGAAGAACACTTTTGCGGACGACATGCTCTACGTGCACTCTCACAAAGGCTTGATTTATTTAGTGATGAATATTTATTTGATATCGCTGAAAATATAGCAGCTACAGAGCAAATATGTCGAAGCGGACAACCAGTACAAGTTACCGATTACTACTACAAATATACGGGAGACTATGATATTCAAGTACTGCAGCTTGCTCTTCAGAATACATTGAACGTCCACCTTGTACGAATCGATAAGTTAGACATTACTGGGTGTCCTATTCGAAATCTTATTTTATCAAATATTGAACATATCCAAGCATTTCTAATTCAACAAGATTATCACTATTATTGTCTTCGAAGTTTTCGATCGACTAAAGATTATTTCTTTAAAATTGATTCTAAGTATTCAATGTACCATGAGCCTATTCCTCGTGGACGTTTATTCGAATATCTTGCAGAACTTCTCAATTCAAACTCCACTATCTTTGTCATCATGGAACATACAGTACAAAATTTAAATGAACAAATTACTATCGATACTATTGAAAAAGCATTATGGCCTTTACCAGATGCTCCTGCTGATTTTGAACTTTTACTCGGACGTAATCAATTAGAAATATGATATAGCAACAATGAGAAGAACTCAGTATAATTCTCAAAAATAAAATAATAAGAAATAAATATTGCAATCTAAATTTCACGATAAATATATTATTAAAAGAAAATTTATAAATGTGTGTACACATATGTTGACCTCTTTTTTAATTCTACTCAAGATTCTTTTTGCCATTCTAGAACTATACATAGACAAGTTTTATTAAGCTTATTGTTTTTCTTCTTCAACGAATTTCATCCATAGAAGTATAATTTCCCCTGCACAAAAAAAAACGTCAAATGAAAAAATTTTCGATCCAAATAAATTTTATGTATAAAGACATAATTTGCTACTTTAAACGCTTCTTCTTATTGAAATACATTCTTACTTTTATTTGCTCTATTATTGTTATAATTCAACTATTTTTATTATTTCCTCATTAAAACACTTCTTAGATATATATTTATATATAATTACCCCTAACTCATTAGTTATCTGGCATATGTTGTATGTATAAAATAATATCAATATCTTAGTTATTTTCTCAAATACACATTAATAATCAAATGTCGAAAAGAACATCTCTGAGTCACTGAACCAAAACAATATTTTTCTTATTCAATAACGTTTTAAATCATTGATATTTATAATGTTAGTATAAAGAAAAAAAGAAAAAGCTATTTCAGTAACGATATCTACTATTAAAAAAAATTACGATATGCATTATATATCATTTATTTCCAACTTCATTTGACTGCTCTTCTTTTGAATTTTGTACATTATAAAGATACTACAAAATGCATAAAAGCGAGAATAATTTGAATATGCAAGTTAGTTCAGTATTAGAAGGTATCATTGTTCTGGTCACTGATATTTCCAATTTACAACTTGGCAGCAAAGAAAAATTTCGGACCGCTTTGTTGTGCAACAAAGATCAGAAAATTCATCGAATAAATGGATGTGGAGCTACCACGACAACCAATCAAAACCGATGTAACAACCGAGCAGTCGAAAAAGGTCCATATGTTACCACTTACCATCCATTGAATATGCCAACTATTTACCTTAGCAACTGAACAAAAACACCAAAAACAACCGACATAACTCACATTTTGTGCGGAATATTCATCAACAAACCAAAGAAAACCTCACCTACACGTATAACATTAGCTAGTGATATTAAACGTCATTTTCTGAATTCTTTCTCGATCGCCACCAAAAAATAAAAAACACAATTCGATAGAGAATTCAATTCCCAACAAGACAGCACATTCAACATAGATAAACACGATTTCCGGAGACAGCTTTCGAAAACAAAAACATTTCTCTCACACTTTTTCGTGAGGGTTCTCGGAAATCTTAACAGCGCCTGTGAATAAGGTTTCCATTGCAACGGGAGAGTTCATACACCATCTGATAGGGAAGTTAATTATCCACAAGATGGTATATCCATCACAAAAACAGTCGACTTCTGGTGCAGCCTCCCAGAGGAAAATAGGATTTTTCTCACATATCTTCAGAAAGATATTCGTAAATCTCATCCCTTCCTGTGAATGGAGTTACCATTGCACGGTGGAGTACATACACCATCTGATAGACAATTTAATTGTCTACAAGATGCTATAATCATTATAGAGATAATCGATTTGTCGAGAAGCCTACCAGAGTAAAAAAACATTACTCTCACACATCTTCTAAAGGGTTTTGGGAAATTTCATCCGCTCCTCTGGATAGAGTTTCCATTGCAACGGCAAACTTGAGACACGATATAATAGAGAATTCAATTCTCTACAAGATGGTATATTCGATATAGAGAGAAACCATTTTGGGAGAGGCCTACCACAGAAAAAAAAGACTTCTCTCAGATTTTTTCAAGAAGGTTTTGGATACTCCCATCGACTACTCTGCATGGAGTTTTCATTGCAACGGTAAACTTCAGACACGATCTGATAGAGAATTCAAGTCTCTACAACATGGTATATTCAGTATAGAGAGAATCGATTTGTCGAGAAGCCTACCAGAGTAAAAAAGATTTCTCCCACACATCTTCTAAAAGCTTTTTTGAAATCTCATCCGCTCCTGTGGATACCATTTTCATTGCAACGGCAAACTTCAGACATCATCTGATAGAGAATTCAATTCTCTACAAGATGGTATATTTGATATAGAGAGAATCCATTTTGGGAGAGGTCTACCACAAGAAAAAAAGACTTCTCTCAGATTCTTTCAAGAAGGTTTTGGATACTCCCATCGGCTACTCTGCATGGAGTTTCCATTGCAACGGCAGACTTCAGCCATCATCTGATAGAGAATTCAATTTTCTACAAGATGGTATATTTACTACAGAGAGAATTGATTTAGAGAGGGACCTGCGAGAGGAAAAAAAAGATTTCTCTCGCACATCTTCTTAAGGGTTTTTTGAAATCTCATCCGCTCCTGTGGATAGAGTCTCCATTGGAACGGCAGACTTTAGACACGATCTGATAGAGAATTAAATTCTCTACAACACGGTATATTCAGTATAGAGAGAATCAATTTTGGGAGGGGCCTACCAGAGTAAAAAACATTTCTCTCACACATCTTACAAAGGGTTTTTTCAAAATCTCATCCGCTCCTGTGGATACAGTTTTCGTTGCAACGGCTAACTTCAGACACCATATGACAGAGAATTCAATTTTCCACAAGATCCTATATTTCATATAGAGAGAATCCATTTCGGGAGAGGCCTACGACAGAAAAAAAAGACTTGCCTCAGATTCTTTGAAGAAAATTTTGGAGAATCCCATCAGCTACTCTGCATGGATTTTCCATTGCAACGACAGACTTCAAACACGATCTGATAGAGAATTTAATTCTCTACATGTTGGTATATTCATTACAGAGAGAATCGATTTAGAGAGGGGCCTGCCAGAGGAGACAATGATTTCTCTCACATTCTTTGAGGAAAGTTCCGGAAAATCTCATCGGTTACTCTGCATGTAGTTTCCATTGCAACGGCACACTTCAGACACGATCTGATAGAGAATTCAATTTTCTACAAGATCGTATATTTCATATAGAGAGAATCTGTTTCGGGAGAGACCTACGACAGAAAAAAAAGATTTCTCTCACATTCTTTGAGGACAGTTCCGGAAAATCTCATCGGTTACTCTGCATGGATTTTCCATTCCAACGGCAAACTTCAGACACGATATAATTGAGAATTCAATTCTCTACAACACGGTATACTCAGTATAGAGAGAATCAATTTTGGGAGGGGCCTACCAGAGTAAAAAACATTTCTCTCACACATCTTGCAAAGGGTTTTTTGAAATCTCATCCGCTCCAGTGAATACAGTTTTCGTTGCAACGGCAAACTTCAGACACGATATAATAGAAAATTCAATTCTCTACAACATGGTATATTCATTACAGAGAGAATCGATTTAGAGAGGGACCTGCTAAAGGAAAAAAAATCTCGCTTGCACATCTTCTAAAGGCTTTTTTGAAATCTCATCCGATCTTGTGGATAGAGTTTCCATTGCAACGGCAAACTTCAGAGACAGTATGATAGAGAATTTAATTTTCTACAAGATCGTATATTTTATATAGAGAGAATCCATTTCTGGAGAGGCCTACGACAGAAAAAAAAGACTTGTCTCAGATTCTTTGAAGAAGGTTTTGGAGAATCCCATCGGCTACTCTGCATGGATTTTCCATTGCAACGGCACACTTTCGACACAATCTGATAGAGAATTCAATTCTCTACAAAATGGTATATCAACTGTCCCGTTGCAATGGGAATTCCACTCACTGCAGCTCATAAGATTTATGAAAACCATTCGACAAAGTAGATGCAAGATCTGTCTTTTCTTTCAGAGCCGCAGTGGAAAAATTCATTCTCTCTATATTGAATATACCAGCTTGTAGAGAATTAAATTCTCTATCGGATGATATATTAACTGTCCCGTTTCAATGGATAATCCACGCACTGTAGCTCATAACATTTACAAAATGCTTTCTAGAAAGTGTGTTCAAGATCTTTTTTTTCCTTCGGAAGACCAATCTAGAAATGGATTCTCTGTATGAGCAGTATGCTATTTGGTATAGAAATAAATTCTCTAGCAGATGATATGTAAACTTTCACAGGGCGCTGTTTTATGTGAACAGAAATTGATTTTTTTTCCAACAATTTCAGTGTCTATTGGAGTGGTAGCTTCACATTCATTTCTGTTTTTAAGGCCGGCATGGCCAAATTGTTGGCCTCCATATTGATGTTTTTTTGAATTTTTTGATCGGTCATTCAAACAAGCAATAGACTTTTTTCTCCCGTCGTGGTAATTCGTCGTGTTGTGCTAGCTTCACATCGATCACCATCTTTCCTATCTTGATATTTATGCTGCTTCAAGTATCCATTCTACATTTTCGGTGGATCTGATCATTCATATAGATTCTTGTATTTTGTTTCATAAATGAATGTTTATGTACATGATCATCTCAAAACATCATAAATAAGTGAACAATTTCATACCTTTTATACTGCTTTGTATAAAGTTTAAATCAATAGTATCACCATACTCATTCATATCAAATTCAAACACACGATGAGTTTTGTTTTATTTTTATCGAAATATTACATACAATTGTTCAACAAAATTAATTGTAGTATCCTCATAAAACAAAAACTAGGATTAAAGCTCACCAAATCCGAGCTCACATTTTTTGTCTATTTTTTTGTGAGAAAAATGTTTTCATTATCTAACAAATAGATTGATAATTCTGCGTTCAATAATTATCAGATACTAGTAAATCAGCCAACACTTTCTTTATCGTTCAATAATGTACTATTTTTATGGTTCATACTTAATCTATTAGTATTTAGTAAAAAACATTATTTTAAGCACTACCTTATTCATACAATAAAAAAATAACCCGCTGTTTTTAAAATCTAATTTTCTTCATTTTAATCTCACTTGATTTTTTTGTTACTTTAACTCTTCTTGATTTTTTCACAAAATTTTTCCATGAAACGTACATTTAATATGATTCAAAATACGAATAGCTCGAATTCAAAACCGAATATAACACTCGAAGGTATACTAGTGGCAGTGTCAGATATTTCTGATAATCAAACTGAGAAGAAAGGCAAATATTGGACAGCATTACTTTGCGATGTAAATCAGAATATCAATCGAATAACAAAATACTTGTCATCAAAAGCAAATTGTTCCCTTCATGTAAAAATGATCGAACATTTAAATAATCAACATGGCGTTCGACTCAATAAATTAAAGCATGATGGTGATAATACATACGTTGCAACAACTGAAACCATTGCAACACCAACACTCTTAACATTAACACCTTTATGTACTAAAACCAGTACGATTAAAAATATCGAGTCCATGTCCGATGGTGAACATGTATCATTTGCATGTAAAATAATCGATATTGGTTCTGTAAGAATTTTTAAAGTAATTTACTATTCATGTTACTGTTTCTTATTGAGGATGAGACTGTTTTGTTCAATAATGGACTAAAACGTATACAAAAATTAAAGAGAACTACATTGGTAGCTGATGAAACTGATTCTATAACCATGAATATTTGGGAAAATCAATTTAATATGATAAAGAAGGATCTATCATATTTAATTAAATTAGCAAAAGTCAAAATTTTCAATGATAATATTTCGATAACAACAACAACACATACAACGTGAGTTTTCTTCTGTTTGTTTCTATGATAGTTTGTTGTGGTAATGTTAAAAAAAAAATTTCTAAATTCGTTTCTAATATTATATATTAATATCTAATTATACATTAAAACGTTTACTACATCGTCTAGCTTTGAACCAATTCAAGATATCGGTAACATCAATATATCAGATTCTATTCAGATTTTACATGAAACAGCGATAACCGGTGTCATTACATCGATCGGTTTAGTACAGCAGCGTTGTACATGTCCGAATTGTTATTCTACTGATGTTGAATGTAATGGTAAAACTATTAGATGTATGACATGCCAATCAAGATCATTATATTCAAATGATTCTGTTAAGTTAAATGAGATCAAACTTAACATCATGACTAATGATAAAAATATGTTTGAACTTATTGTCAATACATCAAAAGTTCAAGCCTTATTATTACAAAGCAACCATCAAGATCTTTCTCAAAGCGACTTAGTTGAGCAGGAAGATGTTTTACTTGCCTTATCGTCATTGAATGTTTTCGTTCATTTCAATCCAAAAAATATGCACATACATAATATAGCGTTGAGTAATATCGAAAATAACTAAAATAAAATTTTACAAAATAAATTTCAAATAAAGAATTTAAAAGAATTTTATCGTTTGAAAAAATAATAACTATATTCTTCTCGCTTTTAACTTCACTGTCATAAGAATCAAGTACACTAATCATCGCACAAATGTTCATATCAAAGTTCTAGTCTATAGACTTAATAATATGCGTACTTTTAACTTCTGTTGCACATATAATTCTAATGTAAATAGTATGAAATCTCTATATGGTTCTAAAAAAACCGATAGACTCTCTGCTTGTTTACATAAATTACCAAGAATTACACTCGCAATATCAACTTATATGATATACAAATATATCTAAATATATTCCCTTATAAATATAAATAATTAACGTAGCTATCATATAAAATTATCATTTCCATTCTAACAAAATATACAAATAACCGTCTCGTATATTTTTCTTCATATTTGAATAATAAAATGTTGATAATTCTAACAAAATTAGTATCATATATCGTACTGTTCACATCGAATAAAATTCTAAATTTCTTCTATATTAATCTTTTATTCTTTATAAATTCCAAAAACATAACTTTGCAGTCGAATAAATGACGCTATTTTATACACATTACTTTCCTACAACTTTGATATAAACATATCTCATGAAAAGCAAGTATTGTTCATCGACATGGAAAGTCGATTCACTCTGCCCAAGAATGCTGGAATGATGATATTGATAAAGTTGGATTTATATATTAAGATGAATTTGTAGAATGATGAGTCTAAAAAAACGCGAACAAATTTGGAAGATGGTAAAGATAATAGTTTTAATACATGGAAAGAATTGATAAATCACATGAAAAAGTTTTCTGTATAAAATAAAATATATGCTTCTACTAATAAAAAAAAAATTTTTCAAATAAGACAAATTTATGTTGTATAGATTATAGTATTTGTTTCATAAAAGTAATAGTTATTAAAAAAATGTGAGAAATGGTTCGCTCATACAATTTTTATTTTCATTAATTTAATACTATTTCCTAATGACATTTTTAGATTTGGTGTAAAAGCTTGAGTAAAGTTAACTAGAACAATAAAAATTTTAGTTTAACATTTGTACATATGAAACTAGTATAGGTTTATTCGGCAGTATTGTAAGATAAATATTGTTTGAATGATGTAGACAATTTATATCTCAATTATCAACATTGACAGTGCAATTTCTAATATGAACATGAAATTTTATACTCATGATTGGTAATGATTTATTTAAGGAAATAGGTATCATCCTGTTAATGATGAAAATAAATAGTTTTGAACAAGAATTAACTGAATTGATTTTATAATGAATATAATTGTTACGTAATATGATGTAAAAAAAACAAATCAATAAAAATAATATATATTATTTGGAAGATATATATATATATAGAAATTGGTATTGAAGCTTTATGCAACCGTAACTTAATTCTATTTTCATATACGTGACTGGTCTTCCGCTGTCCAATAAAGTGGATTGATTTTTTATTTTCACACTGTTGTAATCATCAATAGAAGTTTTCTTTAACAATTCTATGAAATTACAGTATGATAATCAATTTATTTACTAGTATCTATAGAACAGTGTTACATTTTATATTATGCATTTACAAACTAATCGTTTTTATTCAAGTATATCTTTTAACACATATAGACATACAATTATGACTATTTTTTTGTCAATGACTATGACTCAGATATGATACGTAAAGGAATAACTGATACAAATTGTTGTGTTATCTACGTTGTAGAATATATCTTAACACAAATGATGAAACATGGCAAAGTTGTGCTCTATATACATCGAACAGACAGAAGCGTATCGTATACAAAGTCTTACTGTAAAGAATATTACAACTTGTCATATGGATAGGAATGTATGACAGATAAATGCATGTTATACAAAAAAAGACTATAATATAATATAAAAAATAAAAATAGCTGCTTTAAATTAACCGATTTTGGAACATTGTCGTCTACAAACTAGAATTTAATTTTTACAAATTTGTAACTAATTTGAATAGTTTAAGATAGTATTATTTGGTCTGTAATTTTTATAGACTAGAATTTAGTTAAAAATCTAGAATCGATGATTAATATATTTGTTGACAAATTTTTCCTGCAATTCAAAATAATCGTGATTACTTCCAAATTGTTCTTTTGTTGATGAATAATAATTAAGATTTTGTATATGTCCTAATTCATATACTGTCAAAGACAAAAAATTGTCTATTTCGAATTCGTGAGGATATAATAGTTTGAAATTTTTTTGATAATATTTACTAATGCGAATTGCACTACGAGCAAGTGTTGTTAAATTATTTGTAAGATTGTAACAAATAAATGTTCCTGTATTTAATGCACGTATACATGCCCATGTAGATAATACTTTTTCACCATTAAAACACATTTGAATTATATCTAAATCAAAAGCCATTAGATATGTTTCAATAGATGTTATACTTGGATGGTAAATAAATTGTAACGTAAGTTTTTTCCGTGTATGTGATTCATTTATTATTTCGAATATAGTAGAACCTAAAGTTATTTCTAATTCGTATACACGTCGATTCGATAAAACTCTTTGCTTGACAAAATAGTAATCACATAAATTTCCATATATATTAGACTATGAAAAAAAATTAAAAGAAAATAAACTGATATTTTAGTGTTTTATACTAATATATTGATGAAGTGTTTGAAATCTTGTCCAATATAAAAAAAATCAAGATCAGAATTAATGAATTGTGAAGTATTTCGTAAAAAACACATAAGGACTGATCCACCAGCCAAAACAAAATGGTTAAAATCGATGAATGGTGAAATCTTATCAAAACGAAATCGATTAATAAGATTATTTTTAAAATCTTCAAGAGTTTCAACCAATTCTGGAGGTGTTGGTGCATGATTGCCATAAACCTTGTAAAAATCTTGTTCATGAATCGATAACGAATCTGGTCGTAATACAACTACCAAAAGAAACTGATAATTAGCAATGGTTACTTATATATATTATAATTTAAACAGCTTCGATTATGTTAAAGGAGAAAGTTTCTTATGTATTAGTGAGTAGTAGATTTAATGTTGAAATACTTTGCGTATGCATATAGAAAGTTGCAGAAAAACGTCAGGAAACAAGGATGGAAAAGTCAAATATCTAATGAAAATAGTCGATATGTTTTATGCAATAGATTACCAAATGGTTTCATATATATATACATGTTCTACTCAAAATTAAAATTCAATCAAATTAAAAATTTGACCATAACATATAGGCAGTGGTCCAAAAGTCACGTAACAGAGAAAAAATTGGATATCTTCATTGCGGCTCAAGGAAACGAGCTAATTTTTTTTGTCAATGATAGAATCATATTCAAGCTTTATATCCATAAAGACATGCCTAGCGAAACCCTTTGTTAAGTATTTTTTTCCGTATCTTTGAAAAAGGAAATTTTTTTTGTTGAGATCACTGGTGATACTTAACAAAGGATCTCTTTAGACTTGTCTTTATGGATATAAAGCTTGAACATGCCTCTATCATTGACAAAAAAAATTATCTAGTTTGCTTGAGTCATAACGAAGATATTCAATTTTTTTGACGGTTACATTACTTTTGAGCTACCCTGTGTATATTATATTAGTATAAATGTACAAAAATTTAATGTGAATTTTTACAAAAATGAAAAATGAATGAATGAAACTGGCCAAAAGTGTTAGAGTGTTACTATTTTTTTTACACCACCTTGCTCAAAATGAAGCATTTTCTTGTATGTAAAACAATAGAAATCATATTCAAAACTACTTATGTATAAGAACTTTTAGTTGACATATGTAAGAATAGCTTATTTATTTATGGTATACCGGTAATGTGGAAAAATACATAATGAGAAAAAATAAATTTTTGATTTAATGTAAAATTGTTAAAAGAGATAATTACATCAAATAGACGATGTTATTTATGTGTAAAAATTAACCTCAGCAATGCAATATATAATCATAAATAATTATTGTTTAGTAGTAAATGTTATAAAAACTTACAAGGTACGTCGAAAATATCTACCAGAGTATATTTTGGTTGATAAACGAAAGGTGAATAAGAAAATAATCTTGTATATAAATGAAATAGATCAGTGAAATGGTAAGCCCAAACTTTATTTAACGTATGGACATCGAATGAACGTGATAAAATGTAAGGCCACGAGATAGTTCCGTTTTTTACAGATACACGGTGTTCTTCTTGAATATATCGTGTACTATATTTTATAAAACGATTGAATAAATTTTTTAAATTAACATCACATGATGATCTCAATATGGTAGCAAAACTTTGTTCATTTATGCATAGATAATCACTTACAACATAGCTGACTTTCAATTGATGGTGACAAGTCAGATAGTAATTGATAAGATCATGCATTATTGTTGATGGTAATTCTGAACAATTCATTAATTGAAATGATGATAATTAAGTTTCAAAAAAGTGGAAAGCCAATAAAAATTATAGCAATTTAACAACTAACTAATAGCTGCAAAATAATATCAAATAATGCGCCAGTTACATTGAACAACAAAAAATTGTTTATTAAATGATAAACACTCAAATTCTTTCAGATAAAAACTAATACGATCCAAATTTGGAACAATATAAAATGTTGCATGTGCAATGTTACGTTGATGCTAAAGGACTAAAATCTTCAAGCAATAATATTGTAAAAGGAGAACCATCGGGAAATGTAAACAGTTTACGTGCTAAAAATTACTATATTGTACAGACTCTGTTGGATATGAAAAATTAGTGGCAGGATACCAGTTTTGTTAAAGCAGGTAGTGTTAATCCTTAAAAAATAGTTTTCCGAAATCTTTTCCAGATTGTAAAAACCTTTTTTTGCTAAATTTTTGGTCAAAAAAAGGTTGGAGGAAAAATTTCGCGAGGAATTGAAAATTATTTGTTTACTCACAAAGTTAATAGACTAATGTGCATACCTACCATCATACATATAAAACATGACTTTATATAATTTTAAATACATCTATGTGTTATAGTACTCTAATTGCAATAAAACAACGTTCATAATGAATAATTTGACATCACAAATAACTGTTTGAAAATATATTCCGACATGAAACCAGATCGATGAACGCAATGAGTCGATTTAGTAGGTATTCACCAATATCTATTATGTTTATTATAATAGTGATGCTCTTATACGTACGAATTAAATCAACAAGTCAAGATTTATATTTTTCTAGTTGTTTTGTAGGATTTATAGTCAAAATCATATATCTATATATCTGAGTGGTATTATGGATCCAGGTATCCACATTTTCTTTTTAATGATAGCTCCGTATGTGTAACTTTTCGTTCAATATCTATGGTTATTAGTAATACTGACTAGGTTGTGACGTTGTATCAAATAATTCTGTATAATATGGTCTAAGTCAATATATTTTATTTGATATTTTATTGACATCGACACATTCTGTACGCTGATAACTACTTAAGAATAAACAAAATGAACAATAATGGCTGTATACTATACTGTTTATAGATGAGATACAAAATGGATCATCATGGTGAGTAAACTTCATGTCTGGCTACTCATGTCTTGCTATTCTATTTTTATGCTAGTGTTGGGAACGACTCTTTACGCGTATTTATTTGTTATGCCAGTAAAGAAAGTGTACATATTTCTTATAATTAACAAAAAGAGTTAAGATAGTTTTTTTTCCGTAAATAACTAATCGATAAATCTTATATGCGATAATGTGTACTACCTTTGATTTGTATCATAATAATTCATTAGAAAAACAATTGCACAAAAAGCTTCCTTCATAACTGAAAATTATTAACAAGATGAAAATTTTAAACACAAACTTTATTAGAGTCAAAATTAACTATGAGGATAATATCAATAAAATTAATCAACAATGCAACTGTGTGCGATCGAAACACATCTATATTCTTATGTGTTGGTACTACTTCAAATATAATAATTTGTTTAATATTTGAAATATTATTTCAATAAATACTGATATCTATGAAGACCTCAATGTTTTACTATTTGATTAAAATAAGAAACAAAAATATTCTTACGGTGACGAAGTTTTTTTATTATTAAAAGTGTAATCAAAGTTTTTTTGATAATAATTAGATGCTATTGAGACCATATTTCGTATAGAATCAAGTTCTTTAAATATTTAAAACGATTATAAATCTGTACAAGTTGTTTCCTAATAATAGTTTCGCTTTGATTGAATATCTCATCCAATTGTGTTATGTCTTTGGTATTGAGTAATACTAACCAATGATTTGTCAACAAGGATCATGATTTTGTGAAACACGATCTGAAAGGAGTGTTGAAGTGTTTAGGGGTAGAAATTTGGACCCCACTCCTCCCCACTCCCCCCCCCCCCACAGACCGTGACAGACGCTCACGTGACCATCACAGACCGTGACAGACATCTGAATTAATTAATTAATTAATTAGTGATTAATTAATTAATTAACCGTCACAGACCGTGACAGACGGGGTTTGGACCCATCACAGACCGTGAATGACGGGGTTTGGACCCACCACAGACCGTCACAGACGGGCTTTGGACCCATCACAGACCGTGACAGACGGGGTTTGGACCCATCACAGACCGTGACAGACGGGCTTTGGACCCATCACAG